ATCCATACGAGGTCTTTTTATGAGGACAGTGTTACAGTGTTTTCTCCAGTGCATTACAGTATTGGTGGGCGGCCGGGCTTTACTTAGCTTGAAACCTACAGAACCCAGATAGTAAAAGATGTTAACCCAATGTTGAATTATGGTCAAAAAAGTTGATTTTTGGTTAAAGTCGATGATTGATGGTGAATCAGCCATCAAACCATCATCCAGTTCTAGCCAAAAAACCAATGATGAAACAATGTTATGGAATTAATGCTGTTTCATGGTTGAATTCTAATGATTGAAATGTCAACGTCTAATCATTGTTAATCAAGATTGGTATAGTAGCAGTTATAGTTAAAAACCTAACATTGTTTCAACAAGTAAGTCACCGACCGCTATTTGAATAATTACCTCCGCCAAGGGAGGAGGTAATGTTTTTGGTCGTGTCTGTCTGTCTGTGGACAAAATTACTCAAAAACTTGTGGACGGATTGTCATGAAATTTTTTTTATCACAGGTGGGTATTGGCCAAAGGAACACACCATTAAATTTTGGTGATGTTCCGGGTCACGATGCGGATACATGAATTTTTCTTTTAATTCAAGCAAATCAACCAGGCCACGCAAAGTGTCATTACGTCAGATGCATGCCTGTAGGAAACAGGAAGGAAAAGTTGCAAACTCGCAGGGACCACACAGCTCAAGACAATGGAGAGAAGTTATCAGGAACGTGTTGCTACCATCAGGAAAGTTGTTATTCTGTCAAATCAACTAGTTCTGGTGATGTTACTGCTGTCTGAAGACMTAGAGAAAGAAATTAAATTCTCTTCACGTTACGGGAGTAACTGAGAATACGCCAACAGCAGGAGGAGGGTCCAGCTGCAGTCGTGGCTGCAGTCGCTCTGGTACCGGTATCGGACAGATAGCGGGAACAGCTGATCAGCTATGTGAGTTAAATGTTCGCTATGTCAGAATTTACTCGGCAAATGTGTTTCCATCTGTCCTTTTGCGCATTAACTCTTTTCCGAAAAACCCAAAAACCACCTTAGGTGAGCGTATCAACTTTTTTGCAAATTAGTGGAATTTTTTTTGAATCATGCCATTTCCATTCACATTTTCTGATGCGATGCTTCAAAATGCACATTGAARAACATTGATGGAAACATGKCTAATGTTGATTCAATCATATTTTACTATCTGGGAAAGCAGAAGAAGAAAAACTGAAGTTTGTTACTGTACAGTAGATTAGGGGAATTACCACGAATTATTAGTAGTTAGGCTCCTCCCTAAAATTCCATGAATACTGAGTCCATAAATTGTGAAATTCAACTATGAGGGGYGTCACTGTATTATTCGTTCACATTTGTATTTAAAGTATGTAAAAGAAAACATCAAAGAGTTAAGGTACTCTTTTAAAGCCCAATGTGAAACAATTTTTTTGCATTTTCCACATCACATGTGGAGCACTCAGAGTGGGACACCCACACGTTTGTTGTTGGTCTGGGGAGTTGAACTGATCACAGGCTCACCCTCTCTGCCCCAAAAGGCCAGCTCTGGAAAGAACTGTTCTATTTTTATTTTCCTCGGTTCAATTTCACTTGTAGCTCCATCTTGAAGATTATTTTACATTGAACAAAATCACCAAAAGTCTGTCAAAATCGGAATCTGTGAGACGTTTAGAAAAACTGGAAACTGGAATTGGTCTGAAAACTAAATTTCTGGTGTAGACGGTATACTTGTGTGTGAACCTGGTTTTTGTTATCTCTTTAGAACCTTTTCTGGCATAAACACAAACCTTGTCAGGACCAGTAATCCTTTTGGAGACTAAAGACTGGTCCCAATATGGTGGAACACCATATTGTTGTTAGGGTTAGGCTTAGGGTATGGCTACAGAAATGAATGGAAACACACGGTCTTAAAAAGGATGGAAATACTAACTTGCATGTGTCTAGCATGATTTTGAAAGAAGATGTTTTTATTCTTGTGTCTCACTTTGTTTCATAGCAGTTCACATTATTTTTATATTCAGAGGGAAAGCCCCTCCAAGACTTCCTGGCTGCCTGGAGACAATGTTGTCACTAATCTGTCCTCGGGGTAAATGCTTCATGTAGGACAAGCTCATGTTTACCAGGCTTACAGATAATCTAAAGTGCACTGATCATATTCCTCTTTCTGCTGTTCATTACTAAGTTACTTTTAAARTAAATACAGCAGGTTTTACTGGAAAAGCCCCAGGGTCATCCCTTCTCTCAGCCTGATGAACCCTCTAAAGACTGGTGCTGATCTACATGCTTTTAACTTCTTTGTAATTCTTTATTACTAAATGCTCCTCAAATTTAAGCTAAGGATCAGATTTATTTAAAAGTAGGATAACTAAGATGAAAACTGCTTCATCACTGATCAAAAGATGCAGGGTCACATCCAGTTTAAGACAAACACGCTACCAGAAAAAGACACTTTTGCAACACCTTTAACAATTTTAACCAAACTTCTCACTTCTAGTTTCTTCCAATTAATTCTTCTAATGTACGACCAGAGGATTAGCAAATTCAGAAACAGATYAAACATAAAAATACCAAAAATGAAGTGTTCAGCTGCTCAGAATCTTATTTAAAAACATACAAACCTGTTAACACTAGGGTTGGGCATAATCGTATCGTGTGCAATTAATCGTCAGAAAAACATTAATCGATTATTTTTTGGCACTTGACGATTAATACGATTAATGCCACCAGGCAGACTGACTGGTGAGTTCCCCATTCGGTCTGGTCGTGATCCTCTCCGCTTCAAATATGWCGAACATAAAAAATAAATTCTGAAATTGATTTATCTATCAACATAATTTAAAAATTGATGTATAGCCCTAAGTCTGTAATTTTGACAATTTGGAACAGATTTTTATAAAGAGCAAATATTTCCCACTAAATTGGTCATGAGACCAGGACATAAGGGTGTACAGGGACTCCAGGGGATTAATCGCCAAATTAATCGTTATTGGCTAAATACCACAATTAATCGTGATTAATTTTTTTGCCAATATTGCCCAACCCTAGTTAACACTACCCTCAACAAGAAGTAGAACAGCTGAGTTCTAGGATATTAATATCAAATCATATTCTCTTTCCAATGACACCAAATTTGTGAAAACTGACTCAGTAGTTCCCGAGATATCTGGGGTTGAAAACTGTTTTTTTTTTTTGTCAAAAATCTAAAATTTGAAGAGGTTATATCTCTGGAACAACTGGTCCAATTAACTAAATTTTTAAATATTGTGCTGTGGGACCACAATTGACAAATGTGTCAAGTTTGATCACATTCTGAGATGGTTTGGTAAAAATCGGGTGATCTGACATGGAATGACCCAATGAAGAATATTTCCAGCTCAAGTTTAAGGTTTAACGTTTTAGGTTTAAGACTCAGAACTTAAACATTCAAAGGAAGAAATGAGGGAATAAATTTATTGAAAAACAACAAGAATTTTCAGTTTCTGTTATGGAGACGATCATTAAGTAACTTTATACGAGCTCTGAACTGGATGAAAACCTCACCCTAAATGAGCTTATCAAAGTTAAATAATACTCTGCACCAGTCTTACATATCACATGAAACATATGGAAGTTCAAACATTTGATTTTGTCAATTTGAAACTTCATTTATCAAGATTATTTGATAAGAGGTAGCAGGAAATACTTGTTACCAGATCTTTATGTGTACAAACACTTTACCTGATGCCATGTCAAACAACTGTGCAGGAAACTAAGAGCAAACAGCAAGACTTGTATACTGCAAACTACTTAATGGTCTTTGTGGTTTGAGCTTTTTTGAGACAAAAATGTGATAACACAAAGGTGCACCTTCAGTGTAAAGTGACTGCTGGTTTTCATACAGTAAAAGCTGACAAAGAGGAGAAATAAATCAGAATCCAGGCAATTACCCAACTCTGTTCTGATTCTCTTAATGACCTGTCATGCTGATGTGCACATTTTACCACATGCCTTGTGCAACAGAGGATTTCCTGCCAACCAGAATTGAACACCTGAGGGGCTGAACAATTGTGGTGTTGCTGTTGAAGTGTCACGGTCCAAGGGAGGAGCGGCATCATAATGCAATCATCGTGCCCTGTTTACAGAAGTACTTTCAGATTGACAATACCGCCACTAAATATTCCTGTGACCCCCCTCCCCCTTGAAGTCAAATGTAGTGCAGGAAGAATAAGAGGAAAGAAGAACAAAACACGGGAACAAAATAAAGAGTTTGTACAAAAGCCAAAGCCCAGCCTAAAAGACTGATTATATTTCAGATGGTGGAGTTAGGTTTGTACACACCACCCTTTGTAAGAGCACTCAGCTATTGCTTTGGAATCAATGGGAATATAAAAAAGCTCTGCTGAATTCCACAGGTAAGCTATCACTCAGAAAGGGACCAGCCCAAACAAGCAGAGCTGGGCTGGGCTTCGTAGCCAGAGGCTTTGCTAGTTTTCACTCTGTTTATGTGGCAGAGCTGGGCTGTGGACTTTCACTGCATCTCACCTCTTAGTCATTAAACGCAAAAACCATAAAAGGAGTTACTGACATGGAAGAAGACTAAAAGACTGTCCTCTCCTTTAGAGTTTCATTTTACTAAACACATTTCTTTTAAAAATGCACACGTATTCTGAGTGATGAAAAAAAAA